CCTGGGCTCGCCTACAGTTTGGTTGTCAGTGTCAATTCCCCTGACTAGCCCAAAGACTTCCTGTGTCCCTCAAAGGACAAGAAACAAATACCTATGTAACAGAACCGACCCCAGACTGTGCTGAGTACTTCCGTTAGAATACCGCTTCCCTGTCCGAACACCAACCACAGACACCACAGCCGACCATAGATGACTAGACGACATCAGTCTGTCTGAACATGGAACTCTTTATTTGAAACTCGAACTGGCTTTTTATACACTCAGGGGGCAATCCCCCCTCCCTGCATAATGACACAGGGCGGGGCAATTTACACTTAGCAACAAGAGACACACAGGTATTCAAACTTCACAACAGCAGACAGTCCCATCAGGAGGGAGGGCTGCTGGAGAAACCCCCCACTAAGCTAATACACATAAACACATACATTCCATAATAGTTTGCTCCTAAGCAAGACACACAATAGAACAATGGGATGCAACCACATGGCATTAAACAATCAACAACCCCCCCCCCCCAATATTAGGACAGATCACCCTGTACCCCTAACAGACACAGGGTAACTTACACATAATAGGGATATGGGGAGCTCCCCACCTCTCTAAAGTGAGCTGGGTTCCATGGGCCTCCCACCCAAATCACAACCTATATCTCTCAATGAAAATGCTCCTTCCTGTCCTTATACTGCATTTATCAATGCTGGCAAAGCAAAGTAACAGCAAAAGCTTCCTCATACTAACATGTATTGTAGAGAAGGGGGATTGTCAGACCAGTTGCTTGAGTGCTATTACGGAGATCACTCAGTCTAATTATTGTGCCTATTGGCCTATACATTCATATTTAGACACCCTACACAACTGCGATTGAGAAGAAAATGGAGATTGTTAGTACATCTGACTGCATATGTATTTCTGCAATGTCAACATGACTTAAAAGAGTGGAGATTCAGATTCTTACACATTCCCATTCCTAATTGTAACTCTTAAAGTTTAGTCTATTGTATACTGTAGCCTCATCATGTGCTACCTTGGTGAACTTCATATGGAGTATATATTGATAGTTTAGACAGAGAGAAATGTTAAATACTAGTACATTTTTAATTCCAGTTTTGGCTTTGAATTCACAATTTCTTTTATGCTGGATAAAAACACCAACTAATGTTAAAATGCAGCAGTATGATTTGCACAAAACCTAGCACAAACCTTTTGCACAAACCTAGCCCTTGTAAAAAAAAAAAAAATGTTCCTATCCTAAAAGGAGATGTATAAGGTTTTTTTGTAGATTCTGTTAAAGACTTGTGGTTTTTGTACCAATAATTGATTATAATAAAGGAGGTTCACGTATCACGTATAAAGCACGTATCTGGACTCTTGTGTTCTCATATAAAAACTCCCTTTTGCCTTTATCCACAACAAAGACTTGGTGGTTTTTACTTACTACTTTGCTTTTAAGGGCTCTTGTCTGGATGAGTAAATAGTGTAAACGGAATGTACAGATCAGTTAGGTTCTGGATTGTTTCCCACATCAGTTTGTGGTGTGTTGTGCTGTGGTGTATCGCACAATAGGTTGACTTACTAAAACTGGAGAGTATAAAATCTGGTGCAGCTCTGCAAAGAAACCAATCAGATTTCAGTTTTTTTTTTGTCAAAGCTTAATTGAACAAGCTGAAGTTAGAAGCTGATTGGATACCATGCACAGCTGCACCAGTTTTAGTAAATCAACCCCAATATGTCTATAGTGTCTTGAACTTCCTGTTTACCTACGTTACAAATTAACAGCTTTGTAACAAAAAAACAACCTTTTCTGCATTTGTGATTTAATGGGCATACAACTCAAAGGCAAATCTTAACATCTCCCAACACCCTTTAAAATAATCTTTAGTACTAAATAGGTAGACGTTTGCTATATTCAACTGGACTTGGTTTGTAATTTTGAAGACGATTCTGCATTCATCCAAGTGGCTTTTGTAGCTAAAATGGGTGTCACAATCACAACATGGTGCCATGAAATCTGGTACAGGTGTTAACTGCTTGGCCTACATGCCTGAACATGTGCAATGTTGTCAAAGTAAATTGTTAAAACTGCATTATATGTGGGTGACAGATGATGTTGAAGGCCCCCACTCCTGGTTTCACTATTTTTCACACCCCCAAACAAGTTCTTGGACCATCAATACATCATAGTTATTAGATTATTATGAATGAGTTGGCAATAAGATATAGAGCAAAAGACAACTGATAAAGCCACCTGGATGAGTGACAAATGTCTTCAGGATTGCAAAAAAGTCCAGCCAAATGTGATAAACTAATATTAGTTTTACCTTAACCTGGAATGAGAATGTTCACAAACATATTTAGCATTTGATGGGGTGTGATCAATGAGGTGTTGTTTACAATCACAACCTCTCTCTCTTCTCTTTATTCTTCACAGAGAGCAAACTGCAGTGGTAATGGCCCTAATGAGGATGTTGTATGCTTATTAATCGAACACTGTATTTTCATTGTTGAGTGAGATTTATCCTGTAATGCTTGTGTTAAAAGAGAAAAATGTCCAAAGCTTGTTTGGTCATACTTCTTTTGTGGGTCACAGGAGTGCACTTACTTTTGCACTCCTGTGACCCGCTAAAGCCCGCTGTCGGCTGATGTCATGAAGGCATTCCAGTCTCTGGATTTATCCCGATAATAAAGTCGGGATCCATCCAGATGCCTGAACAGCAGCTGGCTCAACCTCTCAGTGTGCTGCTGAGAGCCCGAGCCAGCTGCTTCTGCCCCCTCCAAATCCCAGCACTCCAGTAAACGCTAGAGGGACAGAATAGAGATTTGGTGACTGACAGTCACCACTCCCTGCTCAGTGCAGACATAGAACTGAGTGATCAGCGGTCATGTGATCCCTAGTTCTCGGACTAAGAGCCGGCAAGGGAAAGCTGCAGCACCGGACTGATGCTGTAATGTTATAAGTGAGTATGTGTTTTTGGTTTATTTTCTTCCTGCATTTCTCCTTTAAGTTAAAAATGGAGGACAATAATCTAACGAAAAAAGCAAACAAGACAAATACTTTATTAAACATGCAGACTTCGGCTTCTACACAACACTCACACTGCAGATTTGTAGCCTGTTACCATATATTTGCACTGAACAAATATTACAGAAATCTTCTGTTTTCTTAAATAGGATCTCATGGCTGTCTGGCGGGAGAGGAACAAATTTTCAGGCTATCAATACAGTACAGTTTTACTGAAAAGAATGCAGAAGGGCTTAATAATGACAATGGGAAAAATAGCAGGGCTGTTGCCTATAGCAACAAATCTGCTTTTCTCTAAAATGAGAAGCCTAGTTAGTTGCTAGGGGTAACAGCTCAACTTTTCACCAGTTAACATTAAATTTGTCCCACTGTGCTTATAAGACAAACCCGTCTTTCAGAGCAATAACAAAAAGTCACTTATCACAGAAGAAAGGATATGCTGTGATTTGGTCCCTATAATTTACTAAACCTACTTCTTTATCTTTAAATAAGATAATATGACAAGCTTTTATCATCCATATTTTAGCCTCTATTAGGACAAAGACAAGCTGATGTACAGAACACTGGTCTTAATAGAGGTATCTGAAAAGTATTAATTGTTTATAATTTCTTTCATGGCACTAACCTCTATGTTCAAAACTTGTATAATACTATAAAAGTGAAATTATCTCCAACAGTTATATTTTTTTTTTGTTTTAAACCCAATCTCATATAAACGAATGCATAAATTTACAGAAACTTTCATACTTATCTTAACAGATATTGAAGGCAAACATTATTGGCTTTTGGAGAACAGGAACATGTCAAAATATAATGAAAAAAAAACCAAGTCTTTGGTCGTTTGAGAGTAAGTTCACACTGCCAAGACCTCTAAGATAACCAATTTAATTATCCAAAACAAACATTTCTATAGTTGTCTGTGTGGGTGGTCTGCCTTTTCATTTCTGAGATAATGTAAAGGCTACCTGTAGTATTGTAAATGCCTTCTCCACAATAGTGCTTACCTCCAGCTGAGTATTCTCCACTTCACGCTCCTGTACCCTGCCTTTGGCTGCACAGCATCTATATCCTCACTGGATCCAGCGATCTGAGTGTACATGCATGAGCTACCTGTCCCCTTGCCACCTAACGGGGGTTGAGAAAATCTTCATTTATAAAGCAGACCATGCAAAGTAGCTCTTAGATTGCTGGCTCCAGAGAGGCTACAAAGTCTGTCTGCACATGCCGGTGTAAAGTGTTGGATTATCCGGTATGAGATAAGTATGAGGTATGTGGAGGATCACATATGTTTTACTCTTAAACACAATTTGTCAGGATGATTTAGTGTCACGGCTGAGGTACCCATCCAGTATTGAAAGCTGCCATTGCCTGAGGTTTGAAAGCAACGTAAAAAACAAAAAGGAGGGCAGGCACTTCATTGTGTCTGATACTATCAAGCTGTAATCTGCTCTAGAAATAGCACTGCACCTGGAAGTCAGGCAGTGGAAGCCTACTGTGCTGGATGGAAGCCTTGGTTCTGTCAGGTTCCAGCCATCCTACTACTTACCTTTTCAAGAGGCAGAAAGAATTTGTGACACTATTTGCCCTTTTTCACTAGTGAGAATAACAGATTAGTTGTAGATAGGATTCTACAATAACAAAACAAAACTAGAATAATACTGCCTACAAAAATGTATAAAACATATGTCAAAGCCTCTGTGCCCTTTACCAATCCACTGGCTTTCTGGCAGCAATGGTTTAGACAAAAGAAAGGCTTTTATATCATTACACAACAGTAGTATGAATGCTTTAGAAGCTCTGGACACCAAAGGGAAATCAATGAGTCCACTCGGGAGAGTACAAATAAAGTGCTGTGAGGGTCTCAATCACTCCCACTACATCCAGTTTTTCACTGCCTAGATGTTGACGATGTGTAACAACCTGCATATTGAAGCAATATCACTTCTTTAGCACAGTCTGAAGTTGACAACAAAAATCAGGGTCATAGTTTTCCCCAGAGATCTGGGCTGGGAAAGTTGTCCACTTCTCCCACCTCTGTACTGCACTCTTCTCCGAGTGAAAATGATAGCTTATACCTGAGCCGCACTTTTTCCTGCAGGGAAGGAAAACAAAATCAATGTCTGTGCATGCTGGGGTTACAATGCTGGTTCACAAACTTTTCCACAAGCCTTACCAGACATGCTTGCTTTATGGAATTCCTCACAAAAGGGGTGCAAATCTAGGAACTTAGTGCAGTCAGTGATTATACTCAGCTGCTTTCTGAAAGGAAATCCAAAAACTATGCACTGTGGATGGGCATTGAGAACCTAAACAAACAAATATCTATTCATACAGCTCCTAAAAGGTTTTGCCCTTTTCAATAAGGTAGCCAATAAAACCTTAGAAAATAAAAGTTTACCTATACTGCTGCAATGAAACAGTAATTTTGACTTACCTGTACATTCTGCCCATAGAGTGTACCCATATAACTCCACCCACTCAGTGAGACTCCAGTTTTTTAGCAAGCCATAAGGAATAATCAAGACACAATGTGAAGGGGCCCTGTTTCCTGTACTGTACCCCAAGATAAGGAATTTATAGGTAAACAGAATTCCTATGTGAAAAAAAAATTAAAATGTGCAACGCTAAAAAACGATATATTCTCTAGTGCATAAAAACGAATATTCCTCATAATGTGAAATGAAGTGTATAAATTATAATATGCATAAATGATTGGTAAGACCTTATGGTCTGTGCCAGAAATGTAAGTGTTTTCGCAAAGTCCAATCCAATCATTGTATATGAGAGAAACCAAAACCAGTGTTCACAAACTGTATGACTCTAAATTGAAACAGTTTTAATAAATCATCTTACATCTTCTCCAAGTAAACCCTAAATCCAATGGGAGAGTGATATGAGAGTGGATGACAATTGATCTCTAATACAAAGCTTTTATATACTTCCATATGTGTTTTTTTAGTATATTCAATAAATATGTTTAAGCAGTGAGCACGAGATGGTTTTATTCTTGCTTCTATGAGATGATGTAGCTCTAAGATCCCTGGATATCAGCAGTGGATTCAGTGTCCCCGACCTGGAGGAAAAATTGGTCTCTACACCTTTCATTTGCAGTGGTATAGCAGCAGGACAGATGCTTCTCGGGGCAGGCTGATTAAGACCTCTTGTAATTTAAGAGGCCAATGCAAGTGGGCAAGCATCCAGATATCATTCAAGTGGAGGTGTTTGTTTTTCCTAAAAAAGGTGGAGGTGTTTGCTTGGAGAAGATATGACAATTAACTGACACTGTTTCAATCTACAGTCATACAGTTTGTGGACATTGGTGTTGGTTTCTCTTATATACAAGTCTTGAGTGGACTGGGCTTTGCATAAATTTACATTTTTGCCACAGATCATTGGGTCTTTTCAATTGTTTATGCATATTATATTTGATACACTTTATTTCATATTATGAGGCACATTATTTTTTTTTTGTGCTAGAGAATATAAAGTAACAGTTTTTGAGCGCTGCACATTTTTTCTTTTTTCTCATTTGATTTTATTTGATATGCGTGATGCACAAAAATGTGCATGCTGGCTCTATTTAGAAATACATTGATCATCATTGAGTAGTGACACATTTGTTTTTTACATTTTGTTTTTTAAGTCTAAATTCCTCTTATTATAATTGTACAGTATAGAATAGAAGTCTGGTATTCTTAGAACACGGGATATACCCAAGCAATATGACTGAGCAGTGGGCAACAACCTAAAACTGCCAACAGACTCACAAGAAACACAGGGTTTATAGAATCCAAACATAATACTCAGAAGAACCTTGCAGCCGAAGCTCACATCACCTGAGAACTGAGCCATCCACCTGGTAGAATTTGAAAACAGGTGACAGAGGACCAAGTGGTAGCCTTGCAAATCTGAAAATGCTTGAGGCTGAAAAGCCCAAGAGACATTAACATCCCAGGTGGAATGAGCTCTGATGGAAAAATTGGACTTTTTCTACATACTTACCTGTAAAATCCATTTTTTTTAGTACATCACTGGACACAGAGCAGACTAATCATGACTATGTGGGTTATATGCCACCTATAGGTGAATGGACACTGGCCAACCAATCAGAGAGGAAGTCCTCCCTTATATAACCCCTTCTACACAGGAAGTACTTCAGTTTTTGAAACAAGCAATGAAATTCCAGAAAGAGGGGAGGGATCTCTGTGTCACATGATGTACTCCAAGAAATTAATTTTACAGGTAAGTATATGGAAAAAAAATCCAATTTTCTTTATCGTACATCACAGGACACAGAGCAGACTATTCATGACTATGTGGGATGTCCTAAAGCAATAAACCCTTTGAGGGGTAGGTGACACCATAACAGCCACTGCCATCAATCCCCCCAGGACCTATTCATTCGTTCGTAATACGCTGTGGGCAAAGGCAGAATTCACAGCGGCTCTGAAATCCACTTGGTAGAACCTTGTGAATGTATGGACCGAAGACCATGTAATGGCCTTGCGAATCTGAGCAACTGATGCCTGATAGCCCAAGACGCCCCCATACTCCTGGTAGAGTGTGTTCTCACCCAAAAGGGTGGGACTTTGACGTTCAAACCATAGGCTTAAATGATTAACTGGCAGATCCAATGAAAAATAGTTGACCTTGATGCCACCTGCCCTTTTTGGGCTCTTCTGGCAGCACAAACCAGGATTCCTGACCTGTGCCACCAACTCAAGTAATTCCTGACCACTCAAACTACATCCAGAGTAGGCAGCACTCTTTTCCCTGCGACTGTGGACTAAGAAAATATAAAAGCAAGACACTGTCCTGATATAGGTGAAAAGTGAAAACCACTCTAGGCAGGAAGATGGACGCAACATCACCCTATCATGATGCTAGACCAAGAATGGCTCCTTACATGAAAGAGCCGCCAGCTTTGAAGTAATAGTAACCAAAGAACCTTCTGAGTCAAAGATTACGTTTTTTTAATTGGTTCAAAAGGTCGCCTCTGGAAGGACAGCCAAATTCCCAAGGACGCAAGGGCGGTCTGACAGATGGGACTGTCCGTGTTACGCCCTGCAAGAAGTACCAATCAAGGAGAGAGAACAATGGTCTCTGGGAAAAAATAGAGAGAGACCAAATCTGACCCTAAATGGTACAGTAGTGTATGGCCACAGGTAAACCTTTAGTTGTTGGTGTACAGAAGGATTCAGCAGAATGGAGCTAGGGTCTTGGGCCATGCGCTTAATCCAGACAGCAAGGTCCTGGCAAACAGCCATGGAAGCAACTGCAGGAACTGAAAGCATCTTGTTAAGAAAAGAGATAGAAGGATCCACTACAAGGACTGTCTATTTTTGCACGAAGTTGTCTTTGATAGGATATTGCTGATCAAAACATTTAGGAAGAGTAAATAGTTGATTAGGGTAATACCAATCACCGTATAGGATGTGCTCCAAAAATGAGTAGAGACCTTGGCCTATGCAGACTCAGGCTGCTCTAATGCTAAACAAAAGAATACAGCAGTAAAAGGACGGCAACAGTATACCTAAGTGTGGATGAAGTTTCAGCTGAAAGCTACTCATCCAGCTCAAATTTCTCAGAAGGAGAGTGGGGATCTTCCTTGTCTACTCCTCCTTAGTGTGTACATATCCAAAGCAAAGACAAAGATTAACCCGGTAGGAGAGACTGAAGGGCATTGCATGTGACGCCTGTTATCTATGACCTCTAAAAGGACCAAAATTCAGCCCATGAAATAAGACATTGTGACAATAAATACTTCCCTAGACAAGTCGAAGGAAGGCAGAGCAGCTGAAGTGCAAGTGAAGTGTCCACAGGAAATCAGAGAATGAGACTGGGGGCAACTATGCAAACAGTGGGTACATCACCCAACCCCCTTTCTCCCCCCCCCCCCCCCCCTTCCCCAGAACAATGTACTGAGTGTAAGCTAGCAAGGTTATCTGCCTCTCCTGTGTGCTTGCGACCTGCTATATGTGATATAGAAGTACTCCCAACCTCTGCTGCTGTGGAAAGGGAAGTCTTCTGTGCCAGGCAGTGTAGGCTGCTGTACCCAGGTAGGCGTCCAGAGATCTATGGGCTGTGGAGGAATCTTTGGATTGCAGAAGCCAGCTGGGAGAAGGGGCAGTCAGAGAAGGAAAACGACGCACACATGCTTAGTGAAGCAAGTGAGAATGAGACTGTACAGACACAGTAATACCAAATGCGGCAGATTGAGGGGAAAAAAAAGGTGCCAAAATTAAATGCCCAGTGGCTCCCATCCATGGTTGTGACACACTAAGTGTTGCAGCATGAATTCTTGGTGCCCAAAGAACAGAACACCCTGGGGCAGATTTAAACGGTGCAAGTCCTGCACTTATCATTGCAGATATATTACTCTAGATCGTATATAAGGAATAAGAATCAATCCTTGACCCCTAGGGTCTAGAGGTCAAGGATCCAGAGCCTGAAGCAACATTACAGACCAGCACTGAATCTTTTTCCAAGCAGGGTCCGTGCATGGTCCTCCCCAAGGCTTAGCTGAGAAGTCAATTGATCTAGAAACTGCAGAAGGAGTCACTGTGGCTATAGTGCAGTCAGGAATCTTGATAGGAGAATAGTCTTAAAGAAAAAATCTCCACAGCAAAGAGTTAACCACCCCAAGTAGAGAGAAGTGGTCCATCACCTAAAGAAATGTAGGGGGTTATACAGGGGATGTCTCTAAAGCTTTCAAACACCTGAAGGTAGTTGCACATAACCATGCTGCACATAAACATGTTAAGACTAAGGATCATGAGTCCTGTAGTATACCACTAAGAAAAGGCAACATTTGCAGAACTACCGGGGGTATATGACACATATGGGAAATATGAACAGTCATCCCATGTCCATTCATTACCTTAAGTGGGTTTGCAAGCAACATGACTTGTGTGACTGATGCAGGGGGTAGGACAGGATTGAATGCTGCCATCTCTGTCCCAGAAGGAGTCTGTAACTTCACCTTCATTGTCTATAACACCAAGAAATTTACATTTTTAAGGGACAGTTGTCATAGCAAGAACACATGCCAAGATCATGCGATCAATAAATACCTTAGGAACTGCTGCCTGGAAAAGAATATTTTGTATTGGCAGAGGAGCTGTATTCAGCATAGAGATCACTACAACCAAAACATCTGGACGGTCAGGTGGGCAGTCCTTGGCAAAATGCAGCAAAATGCGGAAACCATTCTTATCATAAGCAGTCACTGGCAGGAGGGAACCTGAAAGACCAAATATTAATCATTTAACAGTGTTTGCGCTTAGTATGAAAGCTGTAGAAAAATCAATGAACACGGCTCACTGACTACAAACCAGACATTCTCTTTTCTTGTTATTATTTGCACAGTAGCACTAAAATAAAATGGACAACCTATAATGCTTCAGCTCTATACCAGGTGGCCACACTTACACACACTGAATTTTGAATAGATTACTACATAATCTTTTTTTAAGTGACATAGGATTGTTTAACTGACTCACAAGGGGGTCAGTCATTTTGTACGTTTTTACGTTTGTGAAGAGAGTCAGAAAAAGGTCCTAATACATTTAGATATTCTCTTTTCCTTTTAACAGAAACAATGATGTCAGTTATATTGTAATGTGCAACTGAATACCTACAAACTAGGTAAAGTGCAATTTTATCCCAAAGGTTTTTGTAGTTTTGGATACAGTGAACAAACCGCTGTCATGTTTTTACTGCTGTTCTGGATGACAGAGATTTACTCTCACTTCCTGCCCTGTTGACAATGTGTTACCAGACAGGAGCTGAGGGTAATTCTCCAGCAGCAATACAAAAAGATATAAAAACTCTTCCCTATAGTAGATTAGGGAAAGCTAAAACCCCTGTCAGACTTTAATTTCTGTAGTTGCCCCGTGTTGCAGATTTTATGTTGACCATTGTCATCTAGACAGAAAGTGATAAGAAACCAAACATTTTACAGCTCTAAAGTGGAGTTCCAGTGAAAGAGTAAAAAAATAAGAGTCACCAACTACAAAAACTGTAGCAGCTGACTTTAAAAAAACAGAAACTCACCTGTCCCATGATCCAACGGTGTCCTCACTGCAGTCGCTTTCACTGGCCGTCCTCTCTCTCTGGTGCCGGCATCTTAATTGTGGGCGTAAGTAGGTCAACTTCCGCTTCTGATTTCCTAGGCAATCACAGCGGAAGAGGGAGCAGGTATCTGTCAAAATGGGATACCTGCTCCCCAACCCCCTGCTCCCCAAAGGTGCCAATCCTTAACATGGAGCAGGGGACAAGGCCTTAAAGCGGAACTTCCCCCTTTGGGTGCAGCTCTGCTTTAATGACAACAAGAGGTAAGGATTATTCTGCAATTGAGCATACCTACCCTGGTGACAACTGTTTGAGAAGGAAAACATTTCCTCTCACTTTTGGTTTAATCTTTGGGACATGAAGTGAAAGGAAATCTCTCCAATAAGCATACACTATAATTAAGAAAGACATATTCATACAACTCACTTGTTTTTATTGTTTCCAGTGGCACTGTCACATTAGCCAAGGATATATGGGAGCCTTTCTGTGGGCTTTCCTGCTGATGTGGTGGAAAAATGGAGCTACCAGGGGCTATTGGCACAGAACAATATGGAGAAGAAGGAGGTACAGTTGCAACAGGATTTTGAGTTTTCACCACTGTAAATGTAGGCATGGCATTCAAAGCAACAGAAGAGCCTGTGGTCTTTGCCGATGCCCTAAAAAGTTAAAGAGAAATGTATCTGATCCATTTCTGTTGCTTCCACATTATCCAACAATGACCAAATAATATTTTCCCTGCCAAGTATCTTTCATTGAAAAACTTACCCTTTTGCCTCCTCTAACAGCTGCTGCCCAAGCACTTCTAATTCATGAAGCACAATGCCCCCAGCTGGAGAAGCTGGTGCTGGCACTGCTGTACATAATGCCGGGGTAGCATTAAACAATGCAGGATAAGTAGTGGGAGTGGATTGAGATGTAATAGTTGGGGAAGCAATGGGTTTTGCTGGCTGTGCTAGCAAAGGGATGGCTTTGGTGATCACAGGCTCCAATGCAGGTCCTGTGAAGAAATCAATCTCTCCACTGTCCACCTGTTCAAAAGAGTTACATGACAGTTAAAAGAAATAAACTGTAGACTACTCCTGTACTAAAAAAAGGTAGGATGTCAATTAACATAAAAGGTACACATTACTACCTGGAATATATCACACGTCGAGTTTGAAGGTAATTCTGGGGCTCCATTTGAAGGAGGATCATCCAGACCTATGAGTGGGGATTAAAGAAAGATATCAAAATGAAACAAAACTTATTATAGCAATACATACAGAATTGTACATTGTATCTTTATTTTATATTTACAGGCCAAAATGCTTTGTACAGTGTGGGGTGTATTGGAAGCTATTACAGGGAATTGTAGCTGTCTGAGTCGTCAGATATCCAGGACTGCAGATACAGACGGCAATAAAATGCCAGCAAATGTTCTAACCCCCAGCAACTGCATCAAAACTAATTAAATAATCAACTGCACTTGCACATTTTTATGACACCCAAGAGAGAATATATATACAGTTGTGTTCAAAATAATAGCAGTCAGACATCACTAACCTGATCAATCACTGTTTTTGGTAGAAATGATATTTCTACATGGCAAATAATTTACTAGCAGGTGTAGTAGAGTAATAGAAATCCAACAGACCCAACAGTCATGACATGCATGCTGCTGATTCTGTGTAATTGAATCACTAATTGAAAGGGGCATGTTCAAAATAATAGCAGTGTGGAGTTCTATTAGTGAGGTCATTCATTCTTTGAAAAACAGGTGGCAATTATTGCCCTTATTTAACCAATTCAATACCGGGCACTTTTACCCCCTTCCTGCCCAGGCCATTTTGCAGGTTTCAGCACTCTCACACTTTGAATGACAATTGCGCGGTCATACAACATTGTACCCAAACTAAAATTTTATCATTTTCTTCACACAACTAGAGCTTTCTTTTGGTGGTATTTAATCACCGCTGGGGTTTTTATTTTTTGTTATATTAACAAAAAAAGACCAAAAATTTTGAAAAAAACACGTTTTTCTTTGTTTCTGTTATAAAAGTTTGCAAATAAATAATTGTTCTTCATAAATTTAGGCCGAGATGTATTCTGCTACATGTCTTTGGTGAAAATAACCCAAATTAGGATGTATTTTTTAGTTTGTAGGAAAGTTATAGAATTCACAAACTATGGTATAGATCTGAATATTGATCAATCCTGAAGTACTGACAGCCAATCTAATTTCTTGAGGTCCAAGAATGTCAGAACAGTACAGATATCCCCAAATGACCCCTTTTTGTAAAAGTAGACAGTCCGATGTATTTCATAAGAGGCATGGCGAGTTTTTTGAAGTTTTATTTTTTTTGTCATAATTTTTCGGAAAATTAAAAAATTAAAAAAATTAGTTTCACTATTTTTTTTTACATACTGTCACCAGTGCAGTACAGCGTCATCATATAACTGGCATGGCGGTGATCAGGGACATTTTTTTTATTACATTTTTTTTTCAAGATTTTTTTTTTTTATATTTCACTATGACCAAAGTAGTACAATGTTACCATAGTAACATTGTACTACTTTGGGGAAGTGATCAGTATTTTACACAATTTTGTGAAAGCAAGCAAGCATTTGTGAAGCAAGAATTTACCTGAATGACATCAATTCATTCAGGGTTTTTTGTTGTTTTTTTTTTACTTTGTGGGGAGCTGTGATTTGGCCACAGCTAATCACATGACATGTGCATGTGATTAGCTGTGACCACACAGCTAGACACTGTATACAATGTGGTAAATAGGATAAAAAAGCACTGGATCTGACAGATTCAAGCCGCTAGCATAAAGGTAAACCTCGTATAACCTCTTAATAGAAAATAAAATACAGCAAAAAATGCAGCGCTTGAGTGTATAGTAAGGGGAATTAACATATGTACAACAGAATTAGAAGGAAATACATTAGAGGTGATTTGACATGCACCAGGTTTAATCGTACATAAATTAATGTAAACAGTGGTCGGGTAGGTAATAAAGATTCATCCAACACACTAGACATATAGTGATAGGGATGTTAGAGTCATTAGATCTAGGAGTACATCCGAGTGCCAATCAAATCCGTGACTTCTGTGATAGGAGAATAGCTGAAAATGCACTAACCAGATAGCGCAAGCCAAAGCACATTGGAGTATAATGACCTACTCCTGGTATACAGCCAAATGATCATCAGCGTAAGCCCTCAGGAACACCTGTGCACACTCTTGCCGTCTCCTACCACCAGGGGGAGTGCGCCTCTTTACAGTAACATGAATTTGCCTTATATCATCTATCGCCAGGGGTGGTGTGCTTTCATATCAGGAGATCACCTTAGGGACTCAGCAATAAGACTCAGAGGGCTCTGACTCATCCATTTGGCTTCAGGCATCCAGCTCACGACTTTCCTTTAGTCGTTCCAGAGACAGGATTGCTGCAGCTGCCCCTATTGAACGCTATACACTTCTCTTGGGACTGCTGCCTTGAACAGAGCCTTGGCTGGGTTGACTACATCTGCATGGGTATAGCATACGGGGCTCCAATGCTCCATCTATTCTGAGCAATCCTGTCTCTGGAACGACTAAAGGAAAGTCGTGAGCTGGATGCCTGAAGCTAAATGGATGAGTCAGAGCCCTCTGAGTCTTATTGCTGAGTCCCTAAGGTGATCTCCTGATATGAAAGCACACCACCCCTGACGATAGATGATATAAGGCAAATTCGTGTTACTGTAAAGAGGCGCACTCCCCCTGGTGGTAGGAGACGGCAAGAGTGGTGCACAGGTGTTCCTGAGGGCTCTACGCTGATGATCATTTGGCTGTGACCAGGAGTAGGTCATTATACTCCAATGCGCTTTTACTTGCGCTATCTGGTTAGTGCATTTTACAGCTATTCTCCTATCACAGAAGTCACGGATTTGATTGGCACTCGGATGTACTCCTAGATCTAATGACTCTAACATCCCTATCACTATATGCACTTCGATTGGTTGGATGAATCTTATTACCTACCCGACCACTGTTTACATTAATTTATGTACGTTAAACCTGGTGCATGTCATACCTCTAATGTATTTCCTTCTAATTCTGTTGTACATATGTTAATTCCCCTTACTATACACTCAAGCGCTGCATTTTTTACTAGTATACAATGGATGGCATGAATGAAGCCATCCATTGTATACAACTGTCATGTGACCTGCTGTGATTGGTCACAGCAGGTCACATGGTACCGGCAACGGGGGCCGATACTCAGATCTGTCATCGGCCCTGTCCGAGGTACACGGCGGTGACAGATCGCGCCGCTGCGCAGCTCTGCAGGAGCGTAATCTGTGCATGTGCGGGAGGACGCCATATGGCTTATACAACTAAATATTAATTAAGTGATTCAAAGGAAAACAAAATCTTCAAACATTTTTCAGTTTTATATAGTGAATGTTTGAGTTTGTAAAGAAGAATACAAACACTGCTATTTTTTTGAACAGTCTAATATTCACTTTTCTTCAATTTTTTTAGAGGAACAACGCAAATTTGATATATTTTTCTTCATGTTTTGATTTGGAATAGAATGTGTAGTGTTCCCAATGCATTTGTGTGTATGGAGATAAAAGCTATTAGAAGGATTTTGAGCTTTATTCACTTTTTTCAACACACTGCTATTATTTTGAACACAACTGTGTGTGTATATATATATATATATATATATATATATTATATATATATAGTATATACATTGATCAGCCATAACTTTTTTTTTGACCGCCAGCATAATACTGACTAGGTTTCCCCTTTTGCCACCAAAACAGCCCTAACCTGTTGGGGTATGAACTCCACACAGACCTCTGAAAGTATGCTCTGGCATCTGGCGCCAAGCCGTCAGTAGTAGATCCTTTAAGTCTTGTAAGTTTTGAGGTGGGGCATCCATGGATTGGACTTGTTTTTCTAGCACATCCAACAGATGTTCAATTGGATTGAGATCTAGAGAATTTGGAGGCCAAGTCAATAGCTTGAACTTGTTGTTTTCCTCAAACCATTCTTGAACCATTATTGCAGTGTGGCAGTGCAAATTATCCTACTGAAAAAGGCCACTACCATCAGGTGATGACATTTCCATGAAGGGGTGTACTTGGTCACCAACAATGTTTAGGAAGTAACATCCACATGAATGGCAGGACCCAAAGTTTCCCAGCAGAATATCGCCCAAATCTTCACACTGACTATGCTGGCTTTCCTTCTTCCCATAGTGCATCCTGATGCCATCTCTTCCCCAGGTAAGTGACACATACATACCTGGCCATCCACAATATGTAAAAGAAAACATGATTTATCAGACCAGGCAACCTTCTTCTATTGCTGTGTTCCAGTTCTGATGGTCACCTGCCCACTGTAGGCGCTACAATGATGCTGTTTTTTTTTCTTCAAATACATCAACTTCAGGGACAACATGTTTAATTGCTACCTAATATATTCTACCAACTTTCAGATGACACTGTAATGAGATAATCAATGTTATTCTCTTAACCTTTTAGTGGTCAAAAAGTTACTGCTGATCGGTGTATATGTGCGTATATATATACAAAGTATGCTTTGGTATCTGGCACCAAGCTGTTAGCAGCAAATCCTTTAAGTCCTGTAAGTTGTGAGGTGGGGTCTCCATGGACTGGACTTGTTTTTCAGCACACCCCACAGATGCCCGATTCATTTGAGATCTGGAGAATTTTGAGGCCAACTAAACACCTCAAACTTGTTGTTGTGTTCCTCAAACCATTCTTGAGTTCATCAGACCAGGCCATCTTCTTCCATTGCTCTGTGGTCTAGTCCTGATGCTCCCATGCCCACTGTAGGATTTTTGCCTGTGGACATTGGTCAGCATTGGCACCCAAACTGGTCTGCAACTAAGCAGCCATATATGCACCAAACTGCAATGCACTGTGTGTCCTGGCACCTTTCTATCAGAACCAGCATGAACGTTTTTCAGCAATCTGAACTACAGTAGCTCTTCTATTGTATCCGACTACATGAACCAGCCTTTACTCCTCACATGCATCAATAGGCCTTGGCTGCCCATGTCCCTGTTTGCTAGTTTTCCTTCCTCAGACCACTTTTGGTAGGTCCTAACACTGCAGACTGGGAACATCCCGCAAGAGCTGCATTTCTGGATGCTCTCACCTAGTTATCTAGCAATAACAATACTGTCAGAATCGCTCTTACATTTGCCCATTTTTTCTGCTTTCAACAAATCAACTTCAAGGACAGCATGTTCACTTGCTGCCTAATATATCCCACCCACTTTCAGATGCCATTGTTTCAAGATGATTAATGTTATTCATGTTACCTGTCAGTGGTCATAAAGTTATGGCTGATTGGTGTGTATTGCAAAACAGATCGTTTAAGATTTATTCTACCAAACAAGGTAATCAATACATCCCAGCAAATACCGTACAACTACCACTTAATTCCTTAGAAATTAACAGAATAGAGTTTTTTCCCAGAGGTAATGCATTTCAACAAACAAGTTATGAACAAGACCCTGCAGTGTTGAAACTTGTGACCACTATGAAAGCTCTGCTGAGTTGACCTCAATGGACTTAATATATTTGTCATTTTAAAGTAATTGCTGAGATGTGCTGATCATTTTGTTTGGGAAAGTAACTACTGTGGATTGAGAACACTGAATAAGTGTTTCTAGGATACCGCTGGCCAAATCTGCATTATAAGGATGAACTGTTTTTCAGTCAAGATTTATTCTATTTTACTATTCTAACAGTAACATTAAGGTAGAAAAGATTGTTACCTAGGTGTAGCAGCTCTTCATCAAGCAAACACATGGAGTTGGATGCACTGCTCATTTGAGTTAGAGTCTGATCTATTGGAGTGGATTGAGTGTGGGATGCTGTAGGTATAATTGGAGGAGGAGGAAGGATGGGAATCAGTGCTGAAGGAGACTTTTCTGCTATAGGAGGTGGCTCTGAATCCACAACTGGAGAGGAAGACTCAAACCCTCCTAAATCAATGAGTGTTGGGAAGTCTGTGCTGGACTCTGTTCCTGCTAGATACAAGAATTAAAATATTAACATGGATTACTGAAAGGTGTGCTTTAATATGTTATTGCAGACTTGTGCATATTTGAAAGCAAAGAATCGGTGTCAGTTACCTTTATTGTGCACTGCCTCTGGAAGCTCCAGTTCCCCATTGATGTCTTGCCCTTCAACAATCTTCTTGAACAGACTGATAGCACGTGATAAATTGTCACTTGCTTGGAGAATATCCCCTGTGTGAGAGGTCAGGACAGCCATAAAGATACTTATCATTCAGGAAAGACCAATATCTTCAATATTACAAATCAGTAATATATAGGCATACCTCGGTTTACGAACGCCTCAGTTAACGATTTTCGGTTTACGAATGAAAATTCATTTAAAAAAAATGGCTCAGTTTACGAATTTTTTACAAATTCTTTTCGTAATAAGAAGTGTATGTCAGTGCTGATTTTTAAATGCAATTGCCGGCTTTTTTTTTTCCTTTACTATAGCTCAGAATTAGCTGTCACTTTCCCGGAGTTATCGGAAACTTTAAGAAACTAAAAGGAAACATTGTTTCTTTTAACTCAGGGAAACAAACTAAAAGAAAACTTTCTTTCTTTTAGCTGGGGGGAAAGTGACAACTGAATTTCTGAGCTATAGTGAAAAAAAAACAAACTGTAATTACATTTAAAAACCGGCACCACAATAAATAAAAAAACGTCGTGGGGTCCCCCCTCCCATCCATACCAAGCCCTTTGGGTCTGATATGGATTTTGAGGGGAACTCCCACGCCAAAATGAAAAAAAAAAAAAATAGTGTGGGAGTCCCCCCCCAAATCCATACCAGACCTTTATCCGAGCATGCAGCCCGGCAGGTCAGGAAAGGGGGGGCAAGCGCCCCCTCCTGAACCGTACCAGGCCACATACCCTCAACATGGGGGGGTGCTTTGGGGCAGGGGGGGCTCCCCCCCAGGCACCTTGTCCCCATGTTGATGGGGACAAGGGCCTCTTCCCCACAATCCTGGCCAGTGGTTGTGGGGGTCTGCGGGTAGGGGGCTTATCGAAATCTGGAAGCCCACAGATCCTGCCCCCCCCATGTGAATGATTATGGGGTACATTGCCAGCAATTCTTTTACATTCAGCTGGAGAACCCCATTGACAGCTGAAACATTAACACATGGTAGTCACTACTAAAATACCGCATGACTTGATAAAATAACTAAAGCGGTATTTTGGTAGTGTTTACTTTTTTTTGACATCTGGAACGGATTAATTGGTTTTCAATGCATTCCTATAGGAAATGGCGTTTCGGTTTATAAATTTTTCACTATACAAAAAGTCCCGCAGAGCAAATTAAATTCGTAAACCGAGGTATGCCTGTAATATATTCTAAAAATGCAATAAATTTGATTGACAGCAAAGTCTTTGGATACCTAAAAGAACATGTTTTCAACATTTATACCAGGAAAAAGTATGATTATAAAGATCATCTCTCACCTAAGCTACTATCATTATCTTCAGTTTCACTAGCCATTTTAAACAAAGTGAGTCTCTTCGCTTCACATCTCTCAAACAGCTCCTAAAACACAAGGAAAAAGGTGAAAATGTGTAGACAAAACATCCATAGCCTATTTGTTTAATTGTCATAGCCCAGCTTGAAATAATTCTAGTCATGCAAGTACATTGGGGATGCTGGTGCATGAGAAATAAGTTGTAAGGGTGTTGTCTTCGTGTACATATGGTGCTCCTTATAGAGATTTACTGAAATCTGACACACTATAGAAATTCACTGAGATTTGGACTGGGATTTAGACCTGTTCTGATATGCACCATGCTGACGTTCTCCTTGCAGTTTGCACTGGGAACAACCTGTACTAGAAAACATACATTGCTATATGCCAGTTTTCTTAAAGCTGAACTCTAGGCATAAAACCATTCATTTAAATGTATCTTTCAATAGCCACAAATAATAAAAATCCATTTTGTGTGCACTGTATACTTATTAACACCCAGATGACACCATAAACAAATAATGGTGACATCATCACTGCGCTGCACATAATCTTTGAAGACAGCGTAGCTGTCCCAGCAGGCCCCACCCACAACAGGATTCCTGCAGAAAATTACAAGAGGGGTGGATACAAGACTAATCACTCTAAGTGGTATTAAACCCAAAAGCAAATATTTATTAGATTTCAGCATACCAACTCTTAGATGTGATGGTTGCATTAATTTTCGTTTTTAAGCTTTCTTTCTTCTATTTTTATCTGGTGATCCAGCCAGCAAGTCTGTTGTTTTTCAAGAGCACAAAGCTCTCCAGTGGAATGTACCAGTTTACATGGATGAGACAAACCATTTACCACTGACGGGTGATTACAATAATCAGCTTTTATTTATTTATGTAAAACCTTCATCCGAAAAGGACAAAAACTGTTTGCTGTAACTGATTATAAAGTGCAAGCTGGAGTTTGGCTTCAATTTGTTAGTGCATTTAAATCTGCTAATATATTTAACACCACCCACCCCCAGAATGAAAATGCTGCTGTCTGTTGTGCCTCCTGTGCTCATTCTTCTAGAGTTGTGTCTCATTAATACTGGAAGTTACCAAGGCATTCCACAACACCATGGTAGTTCATTGAGAACTGCAAGCCAACATCTGGAAATGATGTCAGTACTTGTAGTTCATTCACAGAACTCTGTGTATGAATGACACGGCCACATGGGCGGAGCTGTTTTTAAAAAATGCCAGCTTGTACGGGGAACTTCTGCCCGTACTGCTGTCACAGGGAGGGGGAGCAGCGAGCAGCGGCTGCAGCATTGGGAACATGTTACATATCCCACTCTAAAAAAAAAGGTGGAACATGTAACATGTACCCAAAGGTGAACTTATCCTTTAATACAAGAAGATCCTGCACAGAGGTAAAGTTGCACACTGGACTGTGGCACAGATCTTGAAAAAATACACAAAGCACACCAAGATTTAAATAAGAATACACATGGCATACACATGAGTTCAGCATTAAGGCTCAGTTCACTATGAATCACACAGGAATGAGCTGCTTGTTCCTGTTCAATTCTTTTGCAATTTAGAGTTGTGCAATTTTAGCCCATCTATTTTGAAGGGGGCTCAAATCGCACTGCATCGTTCAAACGTAGTACACTTTTGGAAATGCAGTGCAACCGGATTGCATGGCACATTTATACCATGTGAACCGTTGCAGGCAAAAGCACAGAGTATGCCACCTGCGCTTGGGGTGTTGTTTACACTGACACATGCTGCAGATCGCAACTGCAAAGCGTTTTGAACATGGTGCAAGAACTGCGCACAGATCGCAGGTTTCTTGCTCCGCATTTTTAGTGTGAACCTAGCCTTAATCATTTCTAAGGGTTGTTACATATGTGTAGTTTAATTTGAAAAATATGTGAAAATGCTAACTGTACTTTCACAGCACATTAGCTCGTTTTTTTTTTTTTTATATATTCAAAGATACAAAACAACCATAAAAATCATGATTGCCTTTACATTTTCTTTCTCCGAGATGCCACCAAGGGCGTAATCATTATTATTTTTTACAAGAATACTGCAGTCAAGGACTGAGCACAAGTAAAGAATCTGCTCCACATACAGAAGCTTGAAATTCTGTATCTTCAACACCAAGAGTCTTAACAATGATTTGTAAGCTGCAGTTATGTAATCACTGGTGGAACACATAACAAGCTGCTAAAAGCAGGCAGATACTGCTTAGACAATGCTCTTGTCTCCAGGCTAAATCCTGGCATTGGGGTATTTGTAGGAACTGGCCAACTTTCGTTACAGGTGTACGACTGTTTGTTCAACATGTCCGGTTTCTGTTGAATGGTCTTGCTGGAAAACCAGTATTCAATCAGCACTTGCAGCCAATGGCTCCAAGAACTGATCTGTGTATTCTGACTAATCAGAGCTATTGTCTTCTTGTCAGAATACAGCTCAGTGGGAAAAATCCCTGACCACACAACTTTGTTTGTGCATTTAACCTGCTGGTTGAATGAAAATAAAAACTGCATGTGTATACCCAGTTTAAGAATGCAAGTAGGGAAGACTTCAGGGACCCCACTAGATGGTCATTCCGCTTTGCACAAAGGGATGGAATCACATGGTCTTAAAGTGGTTCTAAGGTCAGAAGGTTTTTTACCTTCGTGCATTCTGTGCATGAAGGTAAAAAAACTTTCTGATTGCAGCTCCCCCCTCAGCCCCGCCTTATACTTACCTGAGCCCCCTCTCGATCCAGCGATGTGCATAAGAGCCATGGCTCTCTGTGGTCTCTCTCTCCTTATTGGGTCACACAGAAGCGGAAGCCATTGGCTCCTGCTTCTGGCAATCACAGCCAGTGAGCCAATCAAGAGATAACGTGGCAGAGCCGTGCTTTGTGTGTATTTGGACAATGTCCATTCACAGAAGTGTGGCTCAAAAGTGAGCCTGCTCAAGTGCCCCCACAGCAAAAGGCTAGCTATTGGGGGCACTTTGCTGGTGGGAGAAGCAGGACAGCCAGAGGGGGACCCAAAAAGACGAGGATTGGGGCTGCTCTGTGCAAAACCACTGCACAGACCAGGTAAGTATAACATGTTTGTAATTTAAAACAAAAACAAATCCAACCTTTAGAATCACTTTAAGGGATACGCTAAGCCAAACCACACAGGGGCTTCAAGCAGTTAGTAATCTGTTTCTCTAGGGAGTACTTGAGTGCAAAACAGGAATAAAAAATTATGGCTCCTGTCAGTAAAGACTTGGAATTAAAAAGGCATGTGGAATCTACTCTATATTCTTATTTCTTGTGGACAGTTACAGCATAGACACAGGCTGCACTTATATACAAAATAATTTAGGTGAGGAGAGCTCTAAGGGAACAGCTTAGCAGTATACTGTAATTACAAAATTGAATGGCATCCTTATATTCATTAGAGTAGCGTATGTGTACAGTTAACCCAGAAATATAAATGTTTTTAGAATTCAGTCTTGAAATACAGTGAGAACACTCTGAATATACTGTGTGCAAAATCACTGTAACAACAGAATATATCCAGATCATCTAGAACTGGGGCAGGCAACCTGCGGCTCTCCAGCTGTTGCAGGACTACAAGTTCCATCATGCTGCTGCAAGTCATAGCTGTAACTGTCAGTTTTGTAATTTTGCAATGCCTCATGGGAAATATAGTTCCACAACAGCTAGAGAGCCACAGGTTGCCTACCCCTGATCTAGAACCATCATTCCCAACTTAGGTATAATGACAGCTTCACATTGTTATTCACTTCCTCTAGAGTGTGAACACGCTTACTCACCTTCTGCATTCTCACCTCATCCTGCACAATGCACAAATACATCATTGGAGCTACACAATACTCAATATGTGTAATATACTATATTGCAGTTATTCGAGAAAGTTGAGCTGTGAAGACATTCAGTGCATCCTGACCATACAGCTACTTAAATTATAGAAGATATCTGAGCAAAAATGATGGAAGATGTCTAAGCATGCCAATGACAGATCAAGCTCTGTCCACGTGACATCCTCAGTAAGACCATTATTTCAAAACAGTAAGTCATAAATAGAGTTTAGAGGCATTAAATAATTATATTATTCCATATTCCGTTATGGCCTTCAAACTGTTCCATGTTACCAGCAAAGCATACTGTTGAGGGGACGGGTCTACTGAACGTAGGTTGTCAAATGACTGCACGCATGTCATGGGCGGTCTTGTCATGCAGCATTTTACTAGCACCATCCCCAAGGAAAACTGTAAACAAAGGCAGAGGATTCCGTAAGGTCTCACGGAATTTTCTGCTTTTGTTTACTGTCAAATTACTGCTTGTATCACTGTAACCTCAGAATTTACCATATATAAAAGCTGTGGAGCTGCAGAAGGCCACCATAAAGCAATACTCAAATAGGGGGTCTTCTGCTTTAGAAGACCCTGTGAGGTTATTGATGCAGCAGAAAGAAAAATCATAATAGCAAAGGATCAGGCGTGAAGTACAGAAAGGCCATGAAGAAAGACCATCCAGCAGCCTTAAGGAGTTTCTGAAAACCCATTATGCACCATATGAGGCTGGGCTGTGCTAACCAAGAGCAGGAAAGGTGTAAATCAATACTTAGGAAACCATCGATTCAGCGGTAGAAGAAAACAGGAACTTTAAAGAATAACTCCAATACAAATGCAAATCCCTTACCTTCTAATAACACAGTATTGACCTGTCGAGTGTAAACAGCAACTCATAGGGAAATAGTTCTATTTCTACATTTTTTCACACAACTTTCACCCTGGGCCTCTTTTTTCCTAGGAAACTCAACTGAGAAAACCACTGAATCTTGGGTGAAATGTGTGCGAATCATGTGTGAAAACATTTATGAATACACCCCATAGAGTTGCAAACTACTGGGGGACTACCAGTTATTAAAAACTCCAGAGTATACATTCAACAATTTTGAAAAGTGCAACATAAAATGAAATATTTGAAGAAAGGTCCACAGACAAAGTAACTGTGGAAATAAATGCTGTATTGCTTAACAGTAACAAATTACTTCAGTTTATTTTTTGCTGCTTTTATGCATGTTGTAGAATTGTGTGGGCTGTGTTTTATTGAGGCATTATTAGGTGTTCACTTACCTCTTTTACCATTGATTTAATCAACTTGTTGGCTTCCTGCAGGTCATCTGGATTCTTACTTTTCAGCAATCTAGCCAACAACTGAAGTAGCAATATAAACATACTGTGTTAGGAAAATCAGAAAAAGACAAAAGACAAAAAAAAGACACACAAAGACATTTTATTACCTTAGATCTCTCCTCATCATCAAAAATTGGATTTTTAGGGCGGATTGGAGGTGATGGGATCAAGGTATGGTCCACTGGGATTACTGGGTCTGACAGAACAATACCTGGCATAGGGAACCAAAGTAGAATTACAGTTGAAATACCCACAAAAATAAAGTATAAACAGAAATAAAGGGGTTTATTTACTAAAGCTGGTTGACTCAGAATCTTGTGCACTTCTGCATGGAAACCAATCAGCTTCCAGGTTTTATTGCTAAAGCTTAACTGAACAAGCTGAAGTTAGAAGCTGATTGGCTACCATGCACAGGTGCACGAAATTCTGAGTCAACCAGCTTTAGTAAATAAACCCCAAAGTGTCAAGATTTTAGGTAAAATGCAATGTGTTTAATAATGACATTATTCTTTTTTTTTTTTTAAACTAACATGCAGATAAGTGTATGCGTGATTGGGGCATAATCATTATTGGTAGCCAGATTTAACCTGTTCATCCCACACACCTGTATACCTCTTATGTTCACATTCCAAGCCTATGGATTTGAAAATTACTCTGTCATTGTGAAAGAGAATGAAATAATACATAAATATTTTTTAAAGCCAAATAAACCCTTCTTTTGCCAGTATTGTCTTGCAAAAAATATTTTATTTTCTATGCAATTTATAGACAAAATAAAATGGAAATCTATAGACAAAAAAATGAAGAAAAAAAACTTTTAAAACTATTGTTATTGTAAATTAAAAGTAAATGTTTTATTTTATTATTTGTTCCATTAATAATAATAATAAAATTATGTTTGAGTTACAAAGCATTGTGAAAATATTTTAAAAAGTAGTTTCCCTTATTATCTTCTCATCCTAACCCCCCTCTTCCCAGTTCTCTTCCCCATCAAGGCACTTCTATCCCCCATTTCAATTGGTAATTTGTAATTTTTCTCTCATAGTGTGATGATTTTCACTGTTTAAGCAGTCTCTGTTAGATTTATACATCCTTGATCTACACACCTTTTGATGACAATAGGGAAGATTGACTAAAACTATAGCACAAAATCTAGTGCAGCTGTGCATGGTAGCCAATCAACTTCTAACTTCAGCTTGTTTAGTTAAGCTTTGACAATAAAACATGGATGGTGATTGGTTTCTATGCAGAGCTGCATCAGATTTAGCATGTTCCAGTTTTAGTAAATCTCCCGCAATGTACCATCTTCCCAGCAAGTCACAGCTTGCGAAGTACTGCATTCCTCCTACTTCCTCCTCTTCGGATTGTGGCATGGCTACAGAGCTTGCAGCCATACCTCTCCACAACCTTCAGACTCAACTCATATGGACACTTTCATCACTTCAGCTGTGACTAGGTACTCTGTCATCTTATTTTTGGCCTTTAACTACCACTTCCTCAATCATCCTTACAGTGGGATGCCTTCCCTTTCCTACTGCCCACAGAAACACACTTAAAGCAAGGAATTGTGCCTTTAAGCATTTGCTCTCTGGCTTCTGAACTTCAATACTTCTCTTACTGAAATAATTGCCCCCTTGAAGTGGACTCCTCCGCCCTTCTACAATTCCTGGGGATTCTTTACTGCTTTTTTCAAAGGTGACAAAACAGGGATTCCACGAACCACCAGCCACCTGTTATAGCTCACCTGCTTTACCTCCTGACCGCTTACCTTGGCACGATTGTTCACCAGCTCCAGTATTGGAACTATTTGTAACCTAAGACCTCCATCTGGCACAACACCTCTCTCAACAGCCTTACAGGGGTCACGGCTTACCTAACCACTGTCGTACCTCCTCTGTCTCATGTTCTACTACCATCATGGGGAACAGCTCCATTGTCAGACCCCTAAACAAGGCAAACCATACTCAGGCACCTCCAAGACATCCGAAACATCTGCCAAGAAAACACCACAAGAAATGACCACCTCACAATCCTCACCTATACAGTCTCTGCTATCTCAGGAACTGTTACCTAACCTAAATGATTCCTCCAATGACAGCGTCCCTGCTGCTCAGCTGGAGGACCCCAACGAGGTGACTGTCCATAATACCGCTCTCCTCGAAAAGTTCAAACTCCTTCTTCAGAAAGAACTAACTATCACCACAGAATAGCTTACCACCAAAATTACACATGAAATCAGTGACTTGAACACAAAATGGATGACACTATCTCCATCGTTGACAACCATGAACAGGACATAAACACAGCTAAACCGGACTGGACCTCTCCTTTGCTCTCTTGAAACTAGAAGATCTAGGAAACCGCAGCAGAAGAGGGAACTTCAGGATCTGAGGCCTTCCTGAATTTATTAAAGACCTAAATTCCATTGTCACTGTTACAGGAGCTTGTTACAGAAATACCAGTTGAACAACTTGAGTTTGTCAGAATTCACAGAGTTTTTGGCCCAAAAGAACAGAGGGCCCTAATCGCAGCATTATTGTCAAACCCACTTTCTACAAAACCAAGGAATCTATCATGCATGCTGCCTGGTCAAAGAGGGACCTAGTCTTTCAAACACACAAGTAACAAATATACTCGGACTTGGCCCCTCAGACACGTCTTAAGAAGACGTAAGGAACTTAAGCCTTGCACTTAAATCCTGCAAAACAATACTATTACATACCGCTGGAACTACCTCCTCAAACTGTCCTCATGCCTTCTCCACTCCTGAGAAAGCCCAAGATGTCTTTGTAAAATTACAACTTATGACTGCTCCACCCTCTGGCTCACAAGCCTCACAATCCTTACTACGCAAATCACCCAGCCTGACTCCACTTTGGGAACCCCTGCACTGAAGGCAGAACTCCAAGACAAAACAAAACTCATTCTTTTTATGATCCAGAAGTTCTCGTTGTAGACTGATAAGGAATCACCTTGTTGGCCTACCTGCCCCCCATTTTCAGAGTGGATTTAGATCTAATCAGAACCAAACCCGACATTAAAGGAATAGTGGCTGGTCATATAAAGTCAGTCTGTTCACGGATTAGCTTTTGCTAACTTTAACCCAACCCAAACCTCATTACCTGTTTTATTTTCTATACTGAAACAATTCTTCAATTTTTCAGGCTTAACCATAAATGAAGATAAATCCTCTGCCCTCTAACCAATGTAGCTGTTGCATCCTTGAAACAGAACTATACACTATATTGCCAAAAGTATCGGGATGCCTGCCTTTACACACACGTGAAATTCAATGGCATCCCAGTCTTAGTCCATAGGGTTCAATATTGAGTTGGCCCACCCTTTACAGCTATAACAGCTTCAACTCTTCTAAGAAGGCTGTCCACAAGGTTTAGGAGTGTGTCTATGGGTATATTTGACCATTCTTTCAGAAGCGCATTTGTGAAGTCAAGCACTGATGTCGGACGAGAAGGCCTGGCTCACAGTCCCAGCTCTAATTCATCCCAAAGGTGTTCTATTGGGTTGAGGTCAGGATTCTGTGCAGGTCAGTCAAATTCCACTCCAAACTCGCTGATCTATATCTTTATGGACCTTGGTTTATGCAGTGGTGTGCAGTCATGTTGGAACAGGAAGGGGCCATCCCCAAACTGTTCCCACAAAATTGGGAGCATGAAATTGTCCAAAATGTACTGGTATGCTTGGATGCCTTAAGATCTCCCTTCAATAAAACTAATGGGCCAAGACTAACCCCTGAAAAACAACCCCACACCAAACTTTACACTTGGCACAATGCAGTCAGGCAAGTACCGTTCTCCTGACAACCACCAAATCCAGACACATCAATTGGATTGCCAGATAGAAAAGAGTGATTCGTCACTCCAGAGAGCACGTCTCCAGTGCTCTAGAGTCTAGTAGCAGCGTGTTTTACACCACTGCATCCGACACTTTGCATTGCACTCGGTGATGTAAGGCTTGGATGTAGCTGCTTGGCCATAGAAACCTATTCCAAGAAGCTCTATACGCACTGTTGTTGTGCTATTCTGAAGGCCACATGAAGTTTGGAGGTCTTTAGCTATTGACTCTGCAGACAGTTGGCAACTTCTACGCACTGTGCGCTTTATTGACAATTACAAGTCGACAGCTGCAAAGGCTCTGGATCTCACAAGATGCCAATTTAAATTGGCCACCTATGTTCTACTAGCGGCGAAACAAACTATTCCGAAACCTTGGAAACAACATTTGTTTTCTTTGCAGACATTCATCTTCGCATTGACAACTTTTTTATCAATGCTTTTTTACAAGTTTTTTATAAAGCAAAAGCTTACTAGTTTTCTCCTAGATACACACAAGAATTCCTAAAAACCTGGGCCCCATGGATACAATACACCGACCCCTCCATGTTCCCTAAAAGCTACGCGCTGTTATAGGAACTGAATGCCCTAAATCTCTGGCTGGAGTGTCCCCGATGTCCTTCTTTTGTTCCTCTCTTTTTTTTTCCATTCTGTTCTATCCCTCTCTCCCTTTCATTTTTGTCTGGTGTTAAAGTTATTACTCTCACTCTGCCATTTGCGGTGATAATTCATATGAGTGGTATGATTTTCATTTACATATGCACGCAAGACCGTTTTTAATAAATGTTATTTCTTTATTTTACACTGTAACTTTATTTTTTTTATTAATTTTATTGCTATCACAATGTAAACATCCCTTGTGATAGCATGGGACATGACAGGTTCTCTTTTTGGAGAGATATGGGGTCTATGAGATCCCATAGCTCTTCTCTGGCCTCCAAAGCATCAGATCACACCAAGATCGTTATGATCTGATGCTTGTTCAAGCTGGTAATGTCCTGTTTACATGCAACCGAAACCGGAAGTGAAGAAATCATTAGAGAAAACATTAGAGAAAACGGGATTAGAGAAACGCCCCAGGAATTTTGTTGAAGTTTTAAGAGCATATCTTCTACACCCAGTGTCAGGAACTAATTAATATACAACAAAGTTGCTACAGTATATACGAGGTAAAGGGGGAGTCTAAATGACCAGAAACAACAAATAATTGGGCCCTTAGGTGACCCTTAGGTATCTGTAATGCACATCCATTGTTTGGTGTTCAGAAAACAATCTCCACATTAATGTGTGTTAAGCAGCATAGCACAGACTCTGGTATCTGGTATCTTTGTTCAGCAGCAATCCAAGGACAATAAAAAAAAAAAAAAAAATCTCCCTGCTGAATATCTTGTAATGACAGTTCACATCTACCCAGATTCTCATCAGTAAGTGTTTATAGCTCACTTATCCAGAAATATTTACATGGCTGTGATAACAATCTATGCATGAGTATAGAAAGTTTATATTCTAGAAAAAAATCCCTAACTGCATCATTTCAATAATCACACAGGACAGTAAATAAAGAATATAATTCTAAATATACTAATAAAACAAATAATTAATTTCGTCTTGTAAAATGCTGGCTAGTAAGGCAGTGAGTAAAGTTAAGCAAATGTTGCTAGCACTGCTTCCTATAAAGAAAACCTGTTACTTTGCCTGGTTAGGGTTTGGAAGTAGTTATAAACTCAAAAGGTTTTTTTATCTTTCTGCATTCTCTACATTAAGGTAAAAAACACCCAATACCTGTTTCCCCACCCCCTCCCTAAACAATTTCCTGAGTCCTCTCTTGATCCAGCACTTTGCGTAGCTACACTGCTGTTCTCTCTTCCTGGTCTCACAGAAAACTGAGAGAAGCGGGAGCCATTGATTGTCAGTCGAGTACTGTGAGGATGGAGCGGGGAGCATGGCTGAGCCGCACTGTGTGTCTTTTGACATATACAGCCCAATTTAGGAAAACACACCCATTCCTTGCTGATGGGGCACCCGCAGGGAAGAAGGAGTGGACAATGCTGGCGGGGAACTCGGGAAGTGGAAATAAAGGGCTTCCCTGTGCAATACTATCACATAGAGCAGGTTAGTATAACTTTTTTTATTTTAATTAAAAAAATATAGCCTTTACAATCACTTTAACTGAACACAAAGGTCCATGTATACTAGATGTTATGTTTCCCTCGCTATTTCAGTTTCTTTCACACTCAGAGAAACTGTTAAAACTATGCTTACTGCAATATAAGGGCTGCAGACACAACATAGACTTTGACTAAATGGGAGCACATCACAAGCTTCTAATATTTGTATCTTGGCTGTAAGAATGTAATTTTATCTTTATTTCCACAGAATAGCCAATCATTCCTAGCATCAGTTTATAATTTATTATCTGGAGATCTAACAGCAGGCATCAGTAACTCAGAACAATAAATTCAAAATCAAGTTTAAGCAGTCTAGATTAGTCAGATCAATGAAAGCTGGTCTGTTAATTTTCTGTTGTAGATTACTGCAACTTGCTGTTCTCTGCATCATATTATATAGCAAGCTGAACAATATACCTTGCCTTTTCAGCATCTGATAGGCATCCTTTATTTTGTTCTCTTCAGGAAGAGCTACTGTCCAACTATACAAGAGGCCCACCACTTTAATCTTCACTTTTTCCGACACTCTGTCTCCCAAGTACTAAAATAAGAAACACAGTTAGGAAGACTAACATCAGATATTTTTTCATATTTGTGGCTATTCATAATGAACACAGACAAAACAGTAAAGTAGAGACCACACAGTCACAATCAATCAATGGCCAAACATTGACATTTTATCAAACCTAATAAAAAAACTGCCCAGCCTTTTACATTTGCAGGGATGTGTTTAACTGCTTCCATACTGGGCACTTTTACCCCCTTCCTGCCCAGGCCATTTTGCAGGTTGCAGCGCTCTCGCACTTTGAATGACAATTGCGCGGTCATACAACATTGTACCCAAACTAAAATTTGATCATTTTCTTCACACAACTAGAGCTTTCTTTTGGTGGTATTTAATCAACACTGGGGTTTTTATTTTTTGCTAAATTAACAAAAAAATACCGAAAAGTTTGAAAAAAAACCCCACGTTTTTCTTTGTTTCTGTTGTAAAAGTTTGCAAATAAATAATTGTTCTTCATAAATTTAGGCCAAGATGTATTCTGCTACATGTCTTTGGTGAAAATAACCCAAATTAGGATGTATTTTTTAGTTTGTAGGAAAGTTATAGAGTTCACAAACTATGGTATAGATCTGAATATTGATCAGTCCTGAAGTACTGATAGCCAATCTAATTTCTTGAGGGCCAAGAATGTCAGAACAGTACAGATATCCCCCAAATGACCCCTTTTTGCAAAGTAGACAGTCTGACGTACTTCATAAGAGGCATGGCGAGTTGTATTTTTTTTGTCATAATTTTTCGAAAAATTAAAAAAAAAATTTTCACTATTTTTTTTACATACTGTCACCAGTGCAGTACAGTGGTTTTTATAGTTAATTACATTTTTTTTTTCTTTTTTTAAAGATTTTTTTTTTCATATTTCACTATGACCAAAGTAGTACAATGTTACCATAGGAACATTCTACTACTTTGCGGAAGTGATCAGTATTTTTTTTTTTTTTTTTTTTACACAATTTGCTTATAGCAAAGAATTACTTTGCTATAAGCAAGCATTTACCTGAATGACGATTCATTCAGGGTTTTTTTATTTTTTTTTGTGCTTAGCTGTGATTTGGCCACTGTTATTTGAATATACAGTATAATCTCACAGGCAGTGTTAAAGAAAAGGCAGTTTTGGTTGCAATACTCACCTTTATTTTGAAGCTGATCCCCAGTACCTCTTCTTGGCCACAAGATGTGCTTAGTCTTCCAGGTTGAATGATGCCCAGTGTCACTCAACCTGGAAGACTGAGGACTCTATTGTGAATACTGGGTGTTATGGGCATTACAAATCCCTTCATCCACGTGTATTAGCCTGGGTTCATATCTGTGCCATGCTGTACTGAAGTGATTATGAGCTTACAGCAGAGGAGTAATGTGTACGCCGTACCGAGTTTAATGGAAACCCACCAAATGTGAACCTAGCCTCAAAGAAGGGGACCAAATACATCTGATGACTAGCCTGAAGTCATCAGAAAAAGGTAAGAATTAAAAAAAACACTGAAAAATATACAGTGGAGAAGGCCTCCAGGGGACTGATCAGCGTGTGGTAGGGTTGAATCCTCATTTCAAATTTTTTTTTCTTTTTTAGTGAATCTGTTTGGATCAAAAGAAGCTGCTGTTTTTTGACATTTTTTTTTTAAAGTACAAGTTCTAGGACTGTCATATTATTCCTATATTACAGGTATATGGGTCACTAAATACACATGAAACCAGTAATGTGTTGGTGAAGCTGATATACTCATACTTGTGTCATTGGTTAACATAGTGGTAAATAAAGACAAAACTAAAATCAATTGCCATTAAACACTAACAGCAGTGATCAATGGTTAAACAGGTGGAATTAATTATTCCCTATTGTGTAAAATACATAGTAGTGAATAAACCTGAGTGATCATACATTTCAGTAGTGCATGGTTGATCACTACTACATGTTAACATCTGAGCGACCGCTACTCTTAACAATTAAGTGCTAGTTATTATAGTAGTGTGACTAAGCTAATAAAATTTGCCCTTGTGCCTCTAGGGGTAAGTAGTGATCAATTGGGTTCAAAAACTGCGTAGAACACAAAAAAGGTGCAGTGCATCTCTCCCATACTGCTCCATTGACTAAACACAAATGCCTGCCAAATTCAACCATCTGTGTTTACAGGCTCACCAGCAGGCAAAGATGCATTAGAGCAGTGAGATCATGCCTATCTATGGCTAAATTCAGCCTCTTCTAATTCTGATTTTACATTCTGCAGTGAAGAGCTTCTTAACCCCTTCATGCCCGTAATCTGTATATTATATAACGTAGCTGTCAAACCTGGCTGTTACTAACAGACTCAGTCCCCAATAAGATCAGCAACCAATAGAATGGAACCCAGTCAGATGACCACTTTGTCAGCTACAACGTAGCGAGCTTAAAAGACAAGTAGGGCTTTTTCATCCGAGAGGCTGAGACAGGTGGCACTCCAGACTCTGGGGTGGATCCCAACTTTGAAGTTGGGATCTATCCCCATCCTGGAGCGGCTGAGTGACGTAAGCCAACAGCGGACTTCAGCCCGCTGTTGGCTGAAAACGGATCACAGGAGTGCAGAACGAACTGCACTCCTGTGATCCACATGGGAAGTAAGGCCAAAAGAGCTTTAGCTATACTTCTTTAAGGATTCACACAGAAAACAATGGTTTTAGCTTGCAGAGGCCACTGCAGTCTGTGGATGGCAGTGTGACTGTTTATTACTGTAATTGTCATACAATTATACTTTCATAAAATATATATATTAAACTATGAAAACATATGAAATCATATGTTCTTACAAAAAAATCAAAAATAAATCATAGCAGACAAAATTTTACTCAACTCACCTTTGGTGACACAACTTTAATTAACTCATTCAAGAAGCGAAATTTCCCAACCTCACTATGGAATCTTCTCCCACAGTTCTTCATACATGCCTCCAGCACCTTAAGATAAACAAGCATTCTGGTAAACATATCTGTGTACTGTCATATGTAGTACATAGGCTAACACACTGCTAATATGTACACAATTTGCACCACTGTGGCTGGGTATGATCAGGCACTGTCTGCCTGTAGCTTTTTGTTAATGCTGTCTATGCACTATAAACAGACTCATTCAGGGCAAAGTGACAAGTTTTCTTGTAAGAATAACCCCTTGCCTATTGATACTTCGTGTATCTTCCCTTTCCTCCCAGCCATCCCATTCAGAGCAGTGACCCAAACCCTGTGTCAGCTGCTGCTAAAGCTTATACAGGGTTAACCTCTTCCTACTATATTAATGTTTAGCAATTGGCAGCTTAGGCCTGAGCTGGCATCCTGGTAGGAGGTCACATGCTCCCCAATACCCTACTGGGTTTCCACTAAAAGCGCTAATGGAGCAGCAAAGGAGTGTGTTCGTAAAAAAGAACAGGTAAAGTAGCATATTCTCTTTGAGGGAATTTGTAGTTAGACAGAAAATGGAGTCTGCCATTTCTGCTACTTGTCTTGGTGTTGTGTTGATACTTTGATTTACTGACCTGGTCTGTCACACCTCTCTCTGGTGAAGCTTCTGTGGAACGGGCATGCTGAAAAACCAGCATCCAACCAGTGCTAGCAGCCAATGGCTGTGAGCGCTGGCTGGTGAGTTCTGGTGGGGGGCAGTATACCTGTCAGAACACAATAGCTCAGCGGGGAGCTCGCTGTACTACTGTCAGATAGTTACTACAGCGAGCTCCTCTTGAGTTCCTCAGTTTTTTTCATTCTGCCCGCTGAGTTGAATGAAAAAACTGAAAGTGTGTACCCAGCATAGGCTTCAGTCTTTGGTCTCCTGTTTTTTTTTTTTTAAATTATATCTCCTCTCACAGCAAACATGTCTTGCCTCCAATACTGCTATCATACAGATAAATCCCAGATCTACCAATCTACTCCTGATCTTGCTCCATCTGTCCTATAAACACATTGGGGTTGATTTACTAAAGGTAATTATATTGTGCACTGCAAATGCAGTTGCTTTATACCTGAGGGAAAGCTCTGAAATGAGGTGAAGTTCTGCTGATTTCTTTCATCCAATCATGTGCAAGCAAAAATGCTGTTTTCTATTTTCTTTGCATGTTCCTCTCAGATCTAGAGCAACTGTACTTTCAGTGCGCTTGCAGTGCACAGCCTATTTACCTTTAGCAAATCAAACCCAGAGTATCGCTGCTCCAGGTGAGTAACCTCTGATGATCCTTTCTCTACTCCTCCAGTCGGGTGCCAGCCCGGCTCACGTGCTGCACAATATGAAATGAGAAAATCCTGATGGCTGAGCTCCAATAATCCACTTTATTCGGCATCGGCAGGAACATTAAAACCATATGACAGATGGTACAGATACAGCGGGGGACAAGCAGGGAGATGTATTTCACGTTAAAAACAGCACTTAATCATTACCCAGTGGGCCCACATCTCTAATGGAGTTTTTAAAGCTTCAGCAGCTGTTACATTAAAGCACTGGGTCTACCTCCTGCTGCGTTGAGCAGGATCTAAGGTAAAAACCGGCTCCAAAAACACAGTACAAGTATTATCAGACATATATCATGAGTGTTCTCCAACCAGTGGACATCCAGAAACATGGGGATCAACACACTGCAGTGTGAAGAATAAATAAATAGAAACAAAGATAACAAATATAAATATATAACCCACACTTGTGTTATAAAATCAGTAATAGAACATTCCTCAGGATAGTACTATAAAATCCTTATCCATTACTTAAGCACACAATATCAATTTAAAGATAAAAGAAAAAAAAATATTTTTTTCAGCAAAGAAGTAACAAATAGTAAATAATGGACCAGTACCTAAGGGCAAAAAAAACTGCATGTATAACAGGACTAATATGAAAGATATTCTAATAGATTTAACAAACATCACATGTGAGAGCAGAAGGGAGGCATATAAAGCAGAGGCATCAGAGGAGCACAGGCGTGCAGACAATCACTCATAAAAGTGGGTGAGATCTCACCCATAATTTAATCCATAAAGCAGGGCTTAAAATTTCGAGTCTAGACCTACTAGCCAGGCACAAACCTTACTCTCCACCAGTTGACCAGGTCCGCCTCCAACCCCACCCCTGGCCCATCCCCCAACCCCGCCCCCTTAAACCCTATGAAATTACAATTTTCTTTAGAATAAAGAGTCCAAAATATAAAAACTGCATTTATAACATAGCTTTATTATGTCAATTTAAACATAACAGCAATAGCTTAATAGCAATAGGGTGCAATCAAAATATAAAGTTTTACAGCTTTAAACCTGTAGTAAAAACATTTTGTATTTTTTTTGTTTATCGACTTTAGTAACAAAATTCTCTTTTAAAAGATGTATGTTTAGTTTACAGAAGTATAGCATAAGAAAAAGTGCTTACCTCGTGTCCCCCAAGGCGGTGTAGAGCAGACCTCGTGTCCCCCAAGGCAGTGGAGAGCGGGCCTCGTGTCCCCCAAGGTGGTGTAGTGTGGGCCTCGTGTCCCCCAAGGCGGTGTAGAGCGGGCCTCATGTCCCCCAAGGCGGTGGAGAGCGGGCCTCGTGTCCCCCAAGGCGGTGGAGAGCGGGCCTCGTGTCCCCCAAGGTGGTGGAGAGCGGGCCTCTCCTCATGTCCCCCAAGGTGGTGGAGAGCGGGCCTCTCCTCGTGTCCCCCACGGCGGCGAAGAAGAAGCTGGAAGTCGGAAATCGGCTTCACAACAAGGGTTGGAGCGCAAATCGATCTCCGGGGCCTGGGGATCGCATTGCAAGCCACCCGATCCATCTGTGCTCGCCACAAAGGGATTTCCCCTCGCATTTGGCGAGTGGAAATTTCAAGCCCTGCCATAAGGGATCCATGTACGCAAGTAAAACATCCAAAATACTTCATGCCTGCACAGCAACCTGAAGCTGCTCCCTCCCCCCTGTGAGGCCTGTCAACTCTCTCAATGACTTGTATATGTAAGGCAGTGAGATCGCACCCATGTAAACCATTAAAATGGTTAGCAACTTTAGTAGAATGTTTTTTCTGAATGTCATACACATGATCATGGGACAATCCCGCAGCCTTGTAGTTGTCCTGCCTACATATTTAATCCAAAAGATTTTACAGGTGTATAGGTATATCAAGTGTTACAATTAGTGGTGCACTGAAATGAAAATTCTGGACCGAAACTGAAAATTCAGGATGCACTTGGCCAAAAACCAAAACCCATATGGACAGTTTTTAAAAAGAAATATATATTTTTATAAGTAATTGTATTATGTTAGACTTTTTAAGTAAAGCGATACTAAAGTTTTTGTGTTTTTTTGGGGGAAAATAACAAACATGTTATACTTACCTGCTGTGTGCAGTGGTTTTACACAGAGCAGCCTGGATCCTTCTCTTCTCGGGTCCCCTACCAGCACTCTTGGCTCCTTCTTTCTGTTGGGTGCCTCCATAGCAAGCAGCTTGCTGTGTCGGCACCCAAGAAGGCGTGTTTCCCAGCCGCTGCTCTGTGTGTCCATTCACACACGGAGCTGCGGCTTGGCCCTGTCCCTGCTCTTTCCTCATTGGCTGACTCATTGACAGCAGAAGGAGCCATTGGCTTCCACTTGCTGTCTCAGCCAATGAGAAGGCAGAGACCCGGGACAGCTGAGGTGGGTTGTGCACATCACTGGATCTCAATGGGGCGTGAATGCATGAAGGTAAAAAACCTTCAACCTTTACAACCTCTTTAATATCATGAATTTAAATGAATATGAATTTTAAAAATACAATCCAGCAATGTAAAATAACTTTTATTGAAAGTAACACACAAAAATTGGGCAGAAAATAAAATTAAATTTATATAAAAGCTTACATTGAAGTCAATGGGACGTACTTTTGCATTGAAGTCAATAGGGGGCGATTTTGCATTGAACTCAATGGGACTCGAATTTTGCATTGAAATCAACAGGACACAACACATTTGGGAATTTTTTTTATGAGCAAAACACCAATAACCCTTTTTTCAGCTGATAATTTTCTGCAGACTATATCTGTGCATCACTAGTTACAATTAATTACATTTATAATCTTGTAACTTTTTCCACTGACTGTGGACAAATTCTTCTCCCCTCTGTAATCGGGGACAACAAGGACACTCACTTATACCACAACTGTAGTTGCTCTTAAACCTCAGCCATGTTTCCTTTAGTGTCTTAGATAATGAAAAATAACTAGGAGAAAGCAAATTGCCCAAAGTGGGCACACGTCGGGAGAATCTTTTATCACCCCCAAAAGCATATGGGCATATGTGTTATCACTCAGGAGATAGTGTTCAGTGATCTTTTTTATTTTCTTTTTTTTTTTTTTTATTTAAATTTTTATTTATTTTCTTGAACTCAAAGCTAAACAAAGGTTGTCCTCTCTCCAATCTGTCCCTTACTTTCTTACTTAATAGGCTGTTTCTGTCAGTGTTTTTAGCTATATTAATGGCACACCCAATAGTGGACACAGGGTATCCCCTTTCTAAAAAGCGATCCCTCATGTTGGCAACCTCTCTCTCAAAATCCTCATCTTTATTGCTTATCCTGCACAATCACAGGAATTGGCCCACAGGGATCCTGCTAATAGTATGTTTGGGATGACCAGAATCTACCCTTAAAATGCTATTACCAGACAGAAGCTTTTAATACAAACTAGTGATTATACAGCCATCACCACCTCTCAATGTGAGATCCAAAAAGCTGACACTAGAATCACTGATCTGTCCATTTAAACTAAGGTCATTATTATTCAGATATTATTATTATTATTATATCGAGTTTATATAGCGCCAAAGGGTTTACTCAGCGCTGTACAATAGAGGGGGGGGGACAATACAAGAAATAGAACAGCAACAACAACAGTACACGAGGGGTTAGAGGGCCCTACTCTTTCAAGCTTACAATCTAGGATGACGAAAAATCTTCCAACCCCCAACTTCACTAGAACAGGTGAAGATCAAATC